ACTTGACAAAGCCCTGCCCTTCAAAACTCGAAAGGCCAGAAACTGCTTCGCGGACCGACACTAGCTTATCCCTCGGAACCTGAGATATTTCAAATTTTATTGCCTCTACTTGTTTTAATTCTTCCCGCGAACACCAATTTTTGATGACACCTGCGGGTGTTCCAATTTGGTAAACATTATTGCGGACGTCAAGAACAATTCCTTCGATGTTTTTTGGGTCCAACGGACCACGATCAAATTTTGAAATGTTCAAAATAATTGTATCTTCCACTTTTAAAGGTGTGAATAATTTCGAACTTCTTTCTGTCATTTTTTGAGCTGCAACTTTTTGTCGTAGATGGGCTTCCGCTCTTGTTGTGCGTATTTCTGCCTCGCCATGACAATACTTACAAACAAATGGTTGGTCGCCGTCTTCATTACCACACTCTTGATGACATGAATTATCGCAAAAGCTGCATTTTTTTAAGCTACCAGGCTTTTGACAAGAGGAGCATTGAGGTTGATCACCACATACGTTCTGAGTAGGCTCGGAGCTCGACGTTGCAGTTTCAGCTACTTTGAGAGCCGGGCTGGAGCTTGGTGCTTCAAGACGACATATTTTCTGAGCAGGCTCTGAGCTCGACGTTGCAGTTTCAGCTACTTCGTGAGCCGGGCTGGAGCTTGGTGCTTCAAGACGACATATTTTTTGAGCAGGCTCTGAGACGCTTAGCTCTTCAGTCTCTCTTGGTCTTTTTTCGGCTGCCATGGTTTTGATAACCTCTTCTAACTCTTCTTCAGTTGTAAGGGAAGAAAGAACACCCGCCGGTATGTTAGAAGTGTGGAGGCCTAGCTTCGGCGCAGATCCGTAAAGTGCTTGATATGGCGAACGGCCTAAAACTCTATGGAATGAAGTGTTTTTCTGCCACTGAACAAAATTCAAACCAACCGACCACTTTTTACAGTCATTGTCAACCATCCACGCTCTCAGCATGTGTTCTATGTCTTGGTTCGATCTTTCCACAGAACCTTGGCTTTGGGGATGCCGGGGACGCCCGTGTACGATTTTGCAATCAGGCCATAAGGAAGCCAGTTCTGAAACGATAGCTGCTGTGAATTCTCGGCCATTATCTGAGTGGAGAATGTGTGCTGCACCCTTGTCCAGAAAGATTTTTAGCAACTCGGCGGCCACCTCTGCTGCGCGTTTAGATGTTAACGGTCTCAAACTGTGATATTTTGTTTCATGATCTTGGTAATTTAGAATCCATTTGTAGCTGCCATCAGGAGTGCTTTGCAAATCTATAAGATCCACTTGGCCGTGACTGTTGAAGTCAGTAGACAAAATAGGCTTCACTACGACACCTTTATTAGGGACTGTCTTCTTCCCATTGCACGTAGCGCACAATTGCAAAAAAAGTTGGATGGATGGGCGAGGAATGACGTACCTTTTTTTTAATAGCATGTTCTATCTTATCGCGCCCTCCGTGGCCCGTTTGAGTATGGAATTCCGATTTTTTTTCATAGAATTTCTCATACGGAACAATAAAAGTTACTTTTTCGAACCCTTCTTTATGTTTCATAATGACATGAGATTCTTCTCCCACTTTAAGCAGGTCGTAAGTTCTAAGGAGGTGGTACTGGTGCTGAGACTTCATTTTGTTAACCTTTGTTTTCGCATTTTGCAACTCCAGGATCGTTTCCTTATACTGGTCTTCATTCCAGGGTTTCTTGCAATTTTTGGTTCTGTAAAACTCGTCAAGTTTTTTGTAAAACATTTCACGGTTTTTTAGATTTTCGGGCTCCATCGAAACAAACACGTAAAATAATCCAACACGTAAAATAATCGAGCGCGGTAACACAGCAGAAGGGAGTTTTAAAAGTTCCCCGTAAAAAAATGGAAAAAACGCACTGTAAAAATATTTAAAAAACGGTGGCGCGATATGACAACACGCACGTCAAATAATCGGCGCGGTAACACACAGAAGAGAGTTTTAAAAGTTCCCCATAAAAAAATGGAAAAAACGCACTGTAAAAATATTTAAAAACCGGTGGCGCGATATGACAACACGCACGTCAAATAATCGGCGCGGTAACACACAGAAGGGAGTTTTAAAAGTTCCCAAAAAAACTGAAAAAGACGCACGCTAAAAGTACGAAACTTAAGCTAAAATAATTAAAAACTTAGGGTGAGGCACGTTCCGTCACGGGTGTCCGCGGAAAACTACTTACAAAACTTGGACAACAATCCTTTACTACTGCATTATCAGCTGCAGTGGTCAGTGATGATCTGCCTCGGATTCCTTCTTATCAGTTCAATGAACCAACTCTCATTGTCCTGAGGACCGTCAAGATAGTCAGCCACCTTTCCTCAAAACAATGTCTCCCTCGCACACGTCTCAACACACATCGTTGCCAATTTCAAAGTCACGTTGACCTCATTAAAAACACAGTTTACTATTTGCCTAATCAGCCTTCGGCATTTGGTCAAATCTTCAGGCATTTGCGCAAATGCCTAGGCAATCGACGAATTTCAATGATTTTTACCATTTCTTTTCTATTTGCCTAGGCATTTGCCTAAATACCGGATTTGCCCTTTAGCCTGCGACATATACTTTTAATTTTGAAGGCTCTAGTGATCATCTTCTTTTTTTGTCAAATAACTAGTTTGTGCAACAATAAGACTGAAACTGACTCTAACTGAACTTTTGTCTTTTTAGATATTTGGTTATTTTGTATTTATTAGATTGTATATTTTCACAGCCCGAAAAATCACACACACAACGAAGAACGAGGCGCTACAGACAAGTCCGTCCAGGACAAGTTAAAAAAATTCCCATGAGCCTAGTGACGTAGGTTAAGGGGCCCGTTCGCCAAAACTAATCGGAACTTTATGAATAAATTGCTCCATTTAAAAATCAAAACAATATCGAATTGCGATATATTACACGGATAAGATAGGGCTATGTCCTGTCGTAAGTGGCGACATAGAGTCGATGTCATTTCAATAATCGCCCCGATGGCCACGATAGTTGTTAAACGTTTACGGTCTCCTTGGTAACCTTTGTTTGCTATCAGCTGATATCGAGTAATATGCCTAGGAAGCTCCAACCACTGCATTCTTCCAAAAAACCGCGAAAACTTTAAAATTCAAAATTTCAAATTTTGAACGTAAAGTACATTTTTTCCATCACGAGATTAAAGCACAGACAAGTTTTGAATTATTGACTGTATCACCATGATTCCAAAAATACACTACACAACATAGCATTGGCTAACAATAAAACAATATGCAATAAAATAAAGTCATGACAAGGTACATAGTCGAAAATGGCGCCGATTCCCATCAACCAACGCGCGGTCTCTCCAATGTAACATGGTCCATTGATACTCCCCAGCTGGGACCGTCCGGAATAGCAGCTCTAGTGCAAGCACCAGAGCCGCTAATATTGTATCGATATTTCAACGTTGATATATCGTCCGTATCGATACATTTATCTCTAGAAATATTGAATCGATTTTTCTTTCTTTCTTCTGCTGAGTTGTGTATTTTACACCTCGGAAAATCGGAAATTATGATCAATTTTTCATAGTTCGAATTTCGGATTTCGCTCGCCAGGTTGTACAGACCTACGTCACAGGGTAAACAAACCTCAAGATGCAAATACCTCCTTTTTTTCTCTATGTAGGTATAGGACTTTTCGCGTGGCTGCTCGACAGTTTGTTAATTTGTGGAGGTTAAGCTACATTCACGCGTCGCAAGCAACCTGGCGCGTCTGCCTCTTGCTACTGCGAGCGCGCCTTCATTTCCTCCCGCACGCAACAAGGACAACCGCGATGATAAAGAATTCCATTCGGCGAAATCGAGCCGAGAGCAGGCACCACGAGTATATACATATGGGTTATTTTTGTGATGGGTGGGATTTTATTTAAAATTCCTAGGAATCCTAGGTATAGTATTTACTGTAGTAAACAATTATCATTTATTCCATCACTTCTTCGGATTATTTATTTTTAATCAATCTATATTCATGTGAAGTGTAGCTCATCTGTATTTTTCTTTCCCTGGAACCTAATTGTATATTATGAGTTTGAATCCATCAGAAACTAAGTTAGTCAAAATCAAATTTAACTACCTACTACGTACTACGAAGTGAAAACGATTTGTATTTCGCAAATCAAAGTGATAGTTAAAGCAACCAAACTGTGTCAGAAATGTTCTCAAATTACTAGGTAAGGCTTTTATCAGCTCATCATCTGATCCAATAATTTTAATTGTAGCATTTCATTCGGCATGTCGCCGCACGACTTCTATGATACTCAAAGTCTCACATATATAATATGAAAGGGGGGGTCTGGGGGGGCAGCGCCCCCTCAGCAGGTAGCTTTTGCTACTTTTTATTTTTCAAGGATGTTTCTTTTTCTAGAAGTAGGTGATTATCATTATTAGTTTCTAATTCTTTGTTTTTGAATTTATCATTTTGCCTCCAGGAAGTCCTTTAATTACTTGTATGTAGTAGCAAAATTTGGCTTGCCTTTGGCAAGCCAAATTTTGCTACCACCATCAATGCTTGAGCCAATATTCACTCGCAGAGCGAGTGACTGGGGGTCCAGGGGGCGAAGCCCCTGGCTAGCGGCGCAAGCGAGCATAGCAAGCTGGAGCAGCTAGTCATGATTATCTCCAAAAACTATATTGAGTCAACTTAGAAAACCCGCATCAATTTCCAGATTCTAGGGGGGCCAAAAAAGGCCCTTATCAATACCCATCCTTTGTAGCGGACTTGCTCTGGGAATGGGCAATCAGGAACGAAAATCTTGAATCATCTGAATGAATATGTGTGTTTATCAAAGAGAGTTTAATGTGAGAGCAGTATGCTTCTCAAGGTGAAAGAATTTTTAGTAGGCATCCTTTTTTTCCACCTTCTGTGAGATGGTCTGGAATGACAATTCAAACCCAGCTTGAAGAGTGGCAAATTGTTCACTTCTAGCTAATGACTAATTCTATATTTTTCCATCTGTGCATCTAGGAAATTGTCAGTGAATGATGAATGGAGTTCCATAGCATTTCATGTAGCTTTGGACAATGCCTTAGTTATCAATGATGTCAGTAAGTACCATTTTCACTTTATTACCTAACTGTAGTTTGAATTATGTATGTTCATTCTCCCCTTGTTCATTTTTCTTTTGCCCCCCTTCATTTTTTCTACTGTTCAGCAAATTCTATTCTAGAATAAGCTTGTTCAGTAATATTTAATTCCTGCATTTCTGAAAACTAGAGAGTGTACAGAGTTCACAGGAATTGTCCCCGATTTTTTTGAACAGTAATACCAACCCACGAGAAACGAGCTCAAAGTTGCGTCTTTTGAGCTCCCATTTAAACGTGCATTGGAAGGCCACTTGAAAATATCCGCAGCGAGCACCCTTCGGAGAACGGCCACACTTGTTGAGTTTCTCTGCCGCGTCCCTTAGTCCGCACGCGATGCGGCGCGATGTCCTATAGTCTCTGTGCGGGCAACAGGACGCGGCAGAGGCAACTCAACGAGTGTGGCCGTTCTCCGAAGGGTGCTCGCAACGGATATTTTCAAGTGGCCCTCCAATGCACGTTTAAATGGGAGCTCAAAATACGCAACTTTGAGCTCGTTTCTCGTTGGTTGGTATTATTGTTCAAAAAAATCTGGGACAATTCCTGTGAACTCTGTACACTCTCTAGTTCAGTGTTCAGTGTTCCCGGGTGCTCCGTGTGCGAGATCCGTACGCTCTACCGCTCTCCGTGCTGCTATTGGCTGAGCGTCATTCTGTGACGTCACGCGTACGGATATTTTAAGATAGGGAAGCGTTTTTCCCGTAAGGTTTTTGTCCGTACGCGGTCCGCGTCGCGCGTCGGTATAGGGAATGTCCGCGCGGCACGGATAAATCCGTACGCCTGGCATCACTGGCAGGAATTAAACATTACTAGACAAGCTCATCACTATACATCCTTTATCACCAATTTTACCGGTCCGTAACACCAATATTGATCATGAAATAGCCATTAACTGTGGGGAAGCACAGTCTCTTTCACTCATTATTCATCCCATTTTGACTTTCTAACTAGGTCACTTTTGGTTCCATAAGAAGATAATGTATCTCTCTTGCTGTCACTTGAGCCTTACGTGGTTGTTATCTCACTTTAATTTCTGAAGTTGTCACTTGGGCAGGTATTTATTTTTCAAATTTTGTTTGCAGATATGAACTTTACAGACAGTTTGAACAGAGGTTGGAATAAAAATATTCTGGAAAATACATGTAGACGCATGAAATAGGATTTTAAATTGATTTAGCCATGAACAAGGATCTAGTGAGATCAAGCAAGATTGATACCAGTCAAAAAAAAATCGAATGTCCGTTTGACATCTTTCTGAGTGCCATCAATAGATGGAGACATCAATTTCTGTTCAGTTCAATCACGCATGACAAAAAAATTCCATTGAAACAAATACATCTGAAAAGATAAGTTTTCTGTCTTGATGCACAGAAATTTTAATGAGTCTTGCACATTGAACTAAACAGCAGATGAAAATGTGATTGAGCAGACATAATGCACGAATAGGATTTGAAAGGTTAAGAATTTTGAAACTCCCTCTTTATATTTCTCATATAAGTGTCAGTTATTTCAATGTACAATTTCTCAGTTTGATTTCATCACAAATAGCTATTTTTGTCACGTATCAATTTTTTTACAGGAAGACTATGTGTTAATAGTGGTCGAAGAACAAATAGAGGAGACAGGAAATCATCAACCCGTTGGAAACCTCTCATCCTAATAATACCTCTTAGACTTGGTATAGCAGAAATAAATCCTGTCTATGTACAAGGCGTAAAGGTATGCCCCTAGCTTTCTCTCATAAGCCACTAAATTACTACAAGAAATTTTGAAATAAATTACCCCATCCAAGAGGAATACAGGAAGTTCTCCCCTTTCCATGTTTTAATGGGACTGTTGCAAACTTTTGCCGGAGCAAAAATAAGAGTTGTTTCTCATAGATAATGTCTCAAAAATCACGATGAGTGGATTGGCAAAGTCTGAAATGCACTCATAACTTCACAATCTGCATGAGAAATTTGCATTATTTTGAGCTTCCCGCTTCAAAAACAGGTGAACATTTTGTCAGAGAAGTCGTTCCATTGTCAGCAATATTCATCATGGCGGACGCTTCCGCAGTCCCGCTCGTAATTCGAGGTGAGATCAAGGTCAATCAAGGCGGGCGAGGAAAATATGGACGTAAACACGCCGATTGTTATCTGGTCTTATCCTGGTCAGGTGTTATCTCGTCCTGTTACACGTGTTTTGGCAGATTGGCGTCGGCCATGATGAATATTGCCGAAGATGGAACGACTCCTCTAATAATATGTTCATCTGTGCCGTAGTATCGTTTTAGAAGCGTTGAGCTCAAAAAACGCAAATTTTTTACGCAGATTGTGAAGTTGCAAGTGCACTTCAGACTTTGCCGATGCGCTCATCGTGATATTTGAGACATTACCTGTAAGGAACAACTCTTATTTTTGCTCTAGCAAAAGTTTGCAATAGACCCATTGACTATGCTATACTGTCTTGCTAATCCATTATTTTTCAATGTGGTGAGCTTTTTCCCCTTTTTTACTTCCTACAGAAGCGATCACAATTTTAAGGTAAATCTAGTTTTTTAAGTTAGGGATTCAGATTTTTAAATTTTCATTGGGGCTCTCCTATTTTCAAAACCTCCTCTCTTAACTCACCCATTTTTGCATTTAACTCGTAAATCACATTTGAGAAGTTTCTGCTTCCTTGCAAACTAATCACATTGAACATATTAAATACTTACCAATTCTCCAGCTTTTCTTTACCTAAAATGATTGTCAAGTGTTAGAGTGGAACCAAATTTTAAGTTCTGAATGGTCGTCTCATGGCAGCCTTAAGCGTAAATTAATAATTGTGACTTTCTGAAAATATCCCAGACTTTTTCTTGCCTTTATTTTATGAGAGACAGGCTCTCTCTAAAATTGTTCGGTGAATGAGACATCTTTCATCAATTTAGTAGTACCCTAAAGTCAAAAGGTACCCAACTCAATTTGAGTCTTTTCAAGATATTACGGGAAAATCACGCATTAGCTCTATTGATTCCAATGTAAATCGCAATTTCTAAAACTCTGTTTCTCATAACGGGCATAAGATAGGGCTACCAAATTTTCCCACGAGATTTTTAAAACGCCTGTGTTTCGATTTTTCCAAAAATGTGGGTTAGGCACCTTTTGGCTCCAGGGCACTGATATTATCTTTTGCAATCACAACAATGAATCCATTCACAACTCGTACTATTTAATGAACTCGTTATAATATTTCAAGAGAATAATCACTGCGTCTCTCTCCCTTCCAGACCTGCTTCACTTTCCGGCAGTCATTAGGAGTCATAGGTGGTAAACCAAATCATGCCTTATATTTCATTGGTTGCGTAGGTGAGTCTTCATAGAGCAATGTTCCAACCTTCTTCAGCCTTGAGATCAAAAAACCTTGATGCACTCAAAGTTTAGACTCTTATGCTTTAGTGATTACCATGTAGGTTAACAGTAACGTAGAGGGAAATGGAAAGTAATTTCCCTCTCGTAATCAACACAGAATATCTAGCTAAAAAATGGGGTTTTTGGACCCTCTCCGGCATACATGTGCCATGCTGGTCTGCATTCCTCTGAAACATTATTTTACACTGTTTTTGATCCCTCCTCATCAAAATAGTGAATGATTAAAGAAACCTGTACTATTCAGCTACATAGTTTGGTCTTCATTTTACAGTAAGAAACCACTTTTTGTGACTCATCTGTAAAAGCATCTACGAGGTCTGTTAGATTAGAAACCGGATTTTGGTCATAACTAGCCCACAATGCGTCCAAATTACGTTTTCTTGAGCTTTTCTGATAGCTGGAAATATACTTAAGAACGCTACGTTCACAAGTTTGAAAAATCCTAATTAGCTTCATTGGTATGTGGCTTGAAGTAAGGCAACCTCAAGGGTGTTTTGCGATTTTTATGTTTCACCGAACTTGTCTCTTTTTTCGGTCTTGCACCACATTTTTCAACCCACAAGGACGATTGGAGTTTCGTCTCCATATCGTAGCCGTACACTAAAGTATTGTCACCGAAAATTATCCTATCCAAAAATGTAGGATCACTGCTAGAACGTTCAAGCAGCTAAAGGAAAATTGACATTTGGTTGGATATTCGTTCAACGGACAACAATAAAGGGGCAAGCGTACCTGAAACTCGATGCGTGTCTACATATTCTATCAAAATTGTATGTACAGAGCCTTCAGAAATATTACTCTGTTCAACAAGCTCGAAACGACCGTTTTCGGGCACTTTTGCCCGCATTTCTCCCACGTGACAAATGTCAGTTGCCGTTGAGGGTCGCTTTCCATGCTCCTCATCTTTGACGAACTCCTGACCAGTTTTGAATCGTTTAACCCATTCAAAACAGTGGGAACATCTCATACAATGATCATGGTACACTTTACTCAGCAGATACCAAAAGTTTTGGTACAAGGTATACCGAGTTTAAAACAAAATTTAATGTTGAATCTTTGCTCTATCAGTGATCCTATGATGAAAATCGCAAAACGCACCTGACTTACTCGGATTCAAGATGACACAGAATAAACACTGATCAAAATAAAGAAAATCTGTGAACGTAGCGTTCTTAAGTATATTTCCAGCTATCAGGAAAGCTCAAGAAAACCTAATTTGGACGCATTGTGGGTTAGTTATGACCAAAATCCGGTTTCTAATCTAACAGACCTCGTATCTGAAAAGGGGAAACTAATGGCACATGGGACGTTTCTCAAGCGAGCCAGAAATAGTAGTCCCGTATTTCAAAATGAAGTCCATCTCTACCTGAGATTTGCATTTCGTGATAAAAATACTGAGGCATAAAAACAAAAGAAAAATCAGGAACAAATTAAGTGTTCAAATACACTCTTTTGTATTTTAAAAGAAAAATGATGGAGCTTATCAAGAAAATCTAGCTTGAAAGTTAGTTTTGAAGTTTTTAAAAGGTAAATGAAAGAATTGAAAAACTCTTAAACAAATGGTCATGCAGTGTTGGAGCTCCCATCCTCCTTACCTTGGAAGCTCAGGTCCTTCTCTCCCTCTTTAAAGTGTGACATCAAGTGCATAGACTTATCATTTAACCAGTATCAGTCTGACTGCATTCCCTCTGCGTTGCCTACTTTCCTCCCATATTTTATTTGTCAACAGAAATTTAAATATCATAACGCTTTGAAACTTTCTCTAACTTTCCTCGAACAAATGAAAAAAATTCCAAGTTGGAATTTTACTTAGATTTTTGCTTAAAACTCAGAGTACGATAGATAATGCGGCAGCATCTGATGTAGTCTGACTGATTTCTTGTTAAATCTATCCTGCTTAAGAATGGTCCTAACTGTTGGTCAGGGATTTTTGCAACCTTACTAATTTAGAGTTCAGAAAAGGTCAGTTCTCAGTTAAGACCTCTGATCACAAAAGAGCTCTTGCATGCCACAGGGATTTGCTATTCTATGGTGGACTCTCATTAAACTGTAAGCAACTCCTTTCATTACAATCTCAACTTTGATAGCTTTTTTTGAGCTTGGGAGTTCATTCAAGTGAAAACCAGAGACACTATCATATTTTCCCAAAATTTTACGAGGGTTTCTTGCTAGTGTTCTTACTTAAGAGTAACATATTTAAAAATGAAAGTGGTATTCCCTTGTCAAATTTCATCACTTCACAATTGTATAAAATGCTAGCAGGAAACCTGTGCTACGCACAGGAAATCCCCACCATCAGCAATCACTGTGATTAGTGATCAATTACTAATTGTGTTTCTGAATTATTATCTACTATTTCAAAATTGGCGAGAAGCACTGGTTTGATAAAAATGAAGAGATTAGTAGTATGCTGCTATTTTGGTCTGTTCTGCAGTAAGCTCATATGATAATTATAATAATCAAAAATACCCTATCAAAAGTTGGATATTATAATAAAGATTTGTTACTTTTGTCAGTTCAATGTTTAATTATGTTAGCTGGTGCGTTTCAGCCGCGAAAATTACGGGATTTAACCAGCGGTTTCGTTCAATTCTCAGCAATGGCGGGTTTGTCATCTACATCGCTGAGAAAACGTGATTTTTCCAGGGATTTTGTAAAACAAATTAGAAATTACACGATATCACGGCAAATACGTCGTGTTCCTTGCGAATTTCTAAGATTATTATAATTGCACATTATTCACATCAATACCGTGGCATACACGCGAATTTCTGACTCAATTAAGACTACGCAATGTGCGCATAAAACTCATAAACATCTGTTACTAGGGATGGGCGAAAACGTATGATTTTCCTTCAATTTTGTATGATACTACATACCCACTCCGAAGTTCAAATAGTTGCTTGCTTCATTTCTGCTTGTTAAAAGTGACGAATTGGAAGAATCCAATCTCAATTTCACGAGAACTATGGGCTGTAACCATCGGTTTCCTTATCTAAGATTTAATGTTTTGAAATTTAAAAAAAAAGAAAAAAAAGAGCATTAGCGATGATCTAAAATTTTGCATGTGTGACTCATGTGTTTCGGTAAACTATGATAGAAACAGAAATCAGGTGAAGAATGTTGAAGCGATGTTCTAGTTTTGCTCCGCTGTCAGCACCGCGTCTGCAGGCGCAGTGTGACCGAGCCGTCATCACAATGTAGAACGCCTTCAAACTAGCAAGCGGCAATGGGGATATCCCCCGTGGTAAAATAGTTGTATCAAGAGCGCCTTCGACGATCGAAGTCAACTATTGATGAAATGCGCGCGGAAACCCCGTTTCTCCTCCGATTGAAACGTTGCACACCATCTTTATGTTCCATTTTGATTTATTTATTTTATTTTTGAAGTCATACAACAGCTTCTCTTAAAATTTTCCGAGAATTTGCCTAAATCATTTCAAAACAGAAGATAAAAGTAACCCCAGGCGACGTGAAGACTAAATCCCAATAATTTGTTTACTTTCGGACTTAAGCAGTTAAATTTTTGAAAAAAAAAAAAAGAAAGAATGAAGAAAAAGAAAACAGTTAACGAAACGTTCCGTGAAGCACATTTTTTACTAATCTTTTCAAAAAAAAAACGAAAGAAAACAAAAGGATCCGCGGAGCCAATATCTCATACTTTCGCAGAGGAGACCAATGCCATAAAATGAAGAGTCTATGCCAATGCACAGACAGATTTTCCAGATTTTCACATCCCTGAGAGAGTAGCCCGGCAACGGATGCACGAGTCGGAGCTCGCAAAAATTAAGGCGCGGCGTTTCCAACAGCGCGACGCCGAACTCGTTCCATCTCCCTCGCACTTGTTGGACGCCAAACTCCTACCATCTTCCTCGCACCCGTTGCGCGTACCAGAAAAACACACGTAAAATTTATCAGCTGTCTTCCAGCGCGAAACGCGGAAATCGCTCCATCTCGCTCGCATTCTCTCTCGCACCCGTTGTCCTTACGGAAAAATCGATCCACGCGGACCGCGATATCCCGCGAACCGACGGGCGGATCGCGAAATCCTCCCTTATCCGGCGCCTCGGGGTAGAGAGGGATCCCAGTGCGGAATCTCAGGGTCATACGACCTCCTGTTCACGAAATCCGCTGATACGTGAGTCAGTGAGTGAGTCAATCAACGTGAAGTCTGCTTTATTAGTATAGGTATGAACTTACAATTAGTTCGAGTTTCATCGCAGTGTTTTCGATATCAACTATTTCAGAATAATTTCGTGTGTGCCCATACAGAATCTTGGTCATCTATTTTGTGAGGAATTCTCCTTTAGTAAGGTGTCTGTGAAAGGCTTATGCATTGCCGACTGGCGCAAAGTAGTGGAATTTTGCAAATTTCTAAAAAATGTATTCTTTCTTGATTGTAAAACTGGTTAACACTTTCTTCCTTGAATATGCTGTAATTTTTATACCAAAGAGTAACATTCTGAATTACGAAAGTAGTAGCCTCGTTCGCTGGCACTTGAAAGTGAACTTCTGTTGCTGCACAGTTGTACAAAATATATGAATCGTTCTGAATAGAAGTTGTCCGACAATTTTCAGTAATTGTTTCCGCATGTGGTACTTTAGTATCCATGTGACTTTGGTTGCTGAATCGGAAAATGACCGTGGTTCCTTTATACCATGCACCACTTACTCAATTTTTCTAATAAAAAGCCTGATCTATTGGAGACATAGTGGGTCAAGGGAAAAACTAAGGCCATTTTTGAACCCAGCGCTACAAGTTACGCAGGAGTCTATCATCTAGTCCATTACAAAGTCTGCAGGGTTTTGATTTTTTTTCTTTTCTACAGACCAGTGTTATTTCTCTTATCAGTGAACTTCGAGTGCTTACTATACCTTAAACATACAACCAACTCAGCTAACATGCGTGTTTATACCGTCAAAGTCAAAAGACTATCATGCCATAACCCTCAAATCTTTTGGGCGCGTAAATTAAAAATGCGTTTAATAGTATTAGTTGGATTGACTTTATCACTACCTTATGTAAAAGAAATGTACCCCCCTATCTTATTAGAATTATGAAATCATATTTATCGAAGAGATTTTTAGTGTTCCCCGAATTTAAAGTTAAGCTGAACTCCGGGGGAGCACAGGGGAGTATCCTTGGCCCCTTGATATTTTTAATTATCTTTGATGAAATTGTCAGATTAAGACTTAGTAACGGTACAGAGAAAAATGTTTATGCAGACAACACGCTCTTAGCCTTTGAATCTGAAAATAGAACCTCTCTTTTAACAGAAACAGAAATCACCACTAAAAGAATGAAAAAGAGATTAAAAAAGAAAAATCTGAGTCTCGAGGAGAGCAAAACAGAAGCATTAATATTGCCGGTAAAAAAGAGAATTCTAAAGCCAAAATAAAAGTAGATGAAACTGAAATTGAAACCAAAGAAACACTTAAATACCTGGGCTTCTATCTCACAAAAAATTTAAATTTTAATAAACACTTGGAAATGACTTGTAAAAAATTAAATAAAACTGCCAATTATTATAGTAGAATTCTACCAAACACGTTCGGTCCCACTTTTCATAAAAGAAAAATAATATTTCATTCCCTCTTATCAATCCTCTTTTACGGCATAACTATTTGGATAACTGCTACACAATGGAAAAAATCTATAAAACTAATTGAAACTTCTATTCGACCCTTAAAAAAGACTTTAATCTGCGGCTATAACTCGATATCAAACTTTGCCCAAGATGTAATATCGGAGGTTCCTCCAGCCAGGCTCCGCGTTGAACTAAAACTAAGAATAGCAAGAGGAGAGAATAAACTAACTGTAGAAAGCGAAATTAGAGACAAATGGCGAGAAATTTGGGAAAAAGAAACTGGAAACAAATGGATAAAAACAGTACTAAATGATTTAGATGCCGGGCTGGATAGAACTCACGGCTACCCTGATTTCTATCTGACTCAGTATATGTCCGGACATGGCGCATACGGAAGCTACTTGGATAAAAGACATCTCACGGATTCTCCTCTGTGCTCCTGCGGAGAATTAGATACTCCTGAACACACTTTTTTTGGTTGTAAATTAAACGAAAAAGATAGGGAGAAATTAGAAAAGGAAATCAATCATCAAATATGTGCAAATAACTTATTACAACTTATGTTAGAGAATAGGAAATACTCGAACTCAGGATACAATTACATTAAGAATACTTTAGAAGATAAGAATAAAATGTACAATGATAAGATAAACAATAATGTATCAAAGCCACCCCCTCACCCACACCCCGACGTAATGCCAACAGGCGGTTCCGGGGTCTCCATATTATAGATATAGACTAAGATTAGATAATTAGGATAAAATATAAATTTAAGAATCATCAACCGTATGAATGTATCTTTAAACTATAATAAAGAACTAAAAAAAAAAAAAAAAAAAAAAAAAAAAAAAAAAAAAAAAAAATATACCGTCAAAGTCAAAAGACTATCATGTCATAACCCTCAAATCTTTTGGGCGCTCTTAATGGGACACATCCTTTCTATGAGTTCTTTCATTTCCACATTGCTGTCTCATCATTTTAATATGGGTTTTTCCTCCTAGGAAACGATGTGATATTTCTAGACCCGCACACAACTCAACCTGTGGGATTTGTTCAGAGCAAAGAACAAGAGCATGAGAAGAAAGTAGATTGCACCTACCACTGCAAGCATGCTAGTCGCCTTCCAATTCTTCATATGGATCCATCTGTAGCTGTTGTAAGTGACACCCTGTCTCTTTATCAGGAGTTATTGCACAATTTAACTAGCAGTTTCAGGCTTGATGAAGCAAGTAGGGTGGAAATGGGAATTGGAGTGCAATTTTTACTGGATTTTTTTCTAGATTTTTAAAGGATTCTTATTTTCGACCTAACCCAAGTCAGGTGGTGACGGGTGACCTAACCTAACCCAAGTCAGGTGGTACCGAATGACCTGACCTAACCTAACCCTAGTCAGGTGATGTTGAGTGACCTACCCCGGGTTTTTTTACCATATTTTTACAAGATTTTTTACAGGATTTTTTATTTTCGACCTAACCCAAGTCACGTTGTGTGCAGAGACCTGACTATCGATCTTCCATACATCGATTTCGATTCATCGATTTGGATCTAACTATTGAACGTCGATGTATGGTTCTTCAAGCTACCGATTTCGATCTTCGAGTTACCGATTTCGATCTTCAAGCTACTGATTTCTATCTTCGAGCAACCAATTTCGATCTTCGAGCTATTAAAATGTAAAATAATCTAAGTGCGGTGGTGTCGAGTAATCTAACTTGAGCTTGGTGGTATTGAGTGATCCAACCCCCTGCCTGGTGGTGAAAAAAATAAATAAATAAATTCAAAGACCAGTCTAAGTTATCGAACCTCAGTTCGGCGGTGCTCGTTGATGCCTCGCAGAGGAATTGTTTCAGAACCTCGGACGTCGAGCATCGGTGTATAGATTTCAAATTTTCATTTTCAAATTAACACCTTTAGGTACAATTACTCTTCTGCAAGCCCGACTTGGGACTTGGGTCAGGGGAAACGGTACAAACATTCCTCTTTGATGCATCGTAAGTTGAACAATTTACAACCTTGTCGAGTAACCGAACCTGAGTGCATTACAGAAACCTACAGCTTAGTAATGTGGGCCCCGCTGCTGTGCTGGACCAGGCTGGAAGCGAACTCCTCAGAGCTTGTACAGCACCCTACCTGCACCCCTTCTCAGAGGAACCTGTAGGTCTCCTCGAATAACCGCCAGGCTTTTCTGAAAGAAGTTGAGGGGAGGTCCCATTCCTCATTCCAATTTGCTATTGTTGTCCCTGGATGTGGGAGGGAAGGAATGGGTGAGTCCATGGTAGACCACTCTATCTTTATCGATGTTATGTTTACCCCGAGAATTGTGTAATTTCAGATATACTAAGGTCGATACTATTTTAAGGTGGAGGTCTCCAAACTTTGACAACTCGGACGATCTCTTTACCAATACTATTTACACCCTGAGAATTTTGTAGTCTCTAGAAAACGAGAACAAGTTCTCTCTGAGGCTCTTCTGAATCTGAAGATTCTGCTATCACCATATCTACGAAGGATTCGAGATTTGAGTCTCTCTCTCTCTCCCCCCCCCCTCTCTCTCTCAGCCTTGACTCGAATTCGTTGTAAGTCTCTCTGCCATCGCTGATGAATGTAGTAATGACTACGTTACATAATTTGAACGGAGTCATTACTACGCATTTTTCTCATACATTAAAATATCTTTACGCTTTGATAAGTTGTGGTGTAGTCGTGATTCCGCTTGTTAGCGGTTAAGAGGGTTGGTTTCGGTTTTCTCTAAATTACAAAATTTTCAAGGTATAAATAACATCGGTAAGGAGATTTTTCGAGTTGTAAAAGTTCGGGAATCTCTACCTTAAAACAGTATTGACCATAGTTTATCTGAATGGAATAAATAGTACGCAGTATATCGTGACTCCAGAGTTTCCTCGGACATAAACATAGTTTAAACCCTGAAATCATAATGTCGAACATTGTTCCAATGGTTTCCAACTTTTCTTGTGACACATGTAAAACCGTCTACAATAAGAAAAAGAACCATGATGAGACAACCGAATATATTCGGAAACTCTGTGGGAAGAAAGCGCTGATCATTCAAGTTGAAACTGCGGTACAGAAAAGGACTAAATCAGTTTACTGAACGAACTACGGCCGGAGATTCTGGGTAAAGATGAGTATTTAAGATCTGCCAAAGATATCGTCATAAAGAAAACTCCAGAGAAACCTGCTTGCGAATCCTTAAAAGTTGATATAAATGTCCAGTATATATAGTCCACATATAGTTGTCGACCTCCTGCTGTGTAGTGGTTGTAGCGTTGGCTCTATAACCAAGAGGTCCTGGATTTGATTCCCAGTCAGGTGACCTGAATTTGATGGTCTCAGACAATGGTCACCTGGGGCTGGTGGTGAACGTGGGATTAGCCAATGGGGGCTATTTGAAGCTTGTGAAAAAAAAAAATAAAAAAAAAATACTAAAACCATGCAATTGAGGAAATTTAAAAGTATTAACACAGCGGTTTACTAGTCGACGAATCTTGAAAATTTGTATGGTATTTTTTGAGCAAAGATCAACAAAGTGTCCTTTGATTTCCATATGAACGGCTCCCGCTAGGTACTGAAGAAGATCCAGGGAATGGAACTCAGAATAAATAGGAATTATTCATTGTAAAAAGCAGGAAAGTATGTGAAGGTACTGTTCCGTACCAACAGTGTTGTGAATGTTGGCAACGGCGACCCAGTTCTTGGACAGTTCCTCCCAGTTGATGCGAAAGATGAACAACGCCCATCAAAATATAGACTTTTGAAAATAAATACGATTTCTCGAACATTCAATACCCCACAAACACAGATGAAATTGGTAGATTCGAGACTAGAATCAAAGTATCGGTCTCAATCTTTGGAGTTCGTGAGAGTACGGTGTCCAAGAAGTAAAAATATACAATTTACCCCATTAAAGTTGCAGATCCGGAGAGGGGAGATCACACTGATCTACTATGCCTCTTCACACCAACACCTTTTAGTTACCATTATTGTTGGATCGATAACTTCGAAGAACAGGAATCAATTGACAAATCGTCATGGTCGAATCATAAAAAGCGGTCGAAGTCGAACGAAGAAGAACGGTCGGAAAGCATGAAAGGCATTAGATATTCAGTCCACATTGTCTAATACCCACCTGAAATTTTATAATTAAATTCATATTTTTCTACACAATTCTATAAAATTCTATAAGATTCTATAAAATCTTGTGCTCAAGTCCTTATTTTCATACTACTGATAATCTGTCGCGGAGCTGCAACAACCGATTTCGAAATGGTGGTTTTTAGCATCTTGTGATGGTTCTCTTGATGTCCCAACTTAAATTTTTCGTTTACGACGAACTTCGGTGTTGAGGATCGTCGTGCATGGAAAATCAACAAGCTCCGATTTTTAATGCATCCTTTATCAATCATCTCACAGATTAATATAGGCTACCTATTATTTCATTACTTATTCCGTACAATTGTCAAGTGCTCTTCCTTCCTCCAAATCCACCTCCAGTACCCATCTCCACTGTAGTGGAATTCCAATGCAAAGTAGACGAATCTGGTAATTTTCTTTTTTTCTAAAATTCTTTAATTATTTTTAGTACCTTTCTGAAGAAGGATTTCATTTTCCATGCCCTTTCTCATCCCCGTGGTGTTTCTTTATTATTTGGTTTTCAGTCAGACCCTTACCATGTCTTCAATTGAAATGTTAACTTGCAACTTTTCATTCTGTTTTCAGTGTTTCTTCTGTAAGGAAGAAAAAGATTTTGACAATCTTTGTCAAGAAATAAGGATGAAACTAATCATCCCTGAAAAACAACATTTATTTGAGCTCTTTGATGAAAAACCTCAAAGTTGGGTTCCTCCTGATGGCAGTGCAGAAGAAGCTTTACGGGCTGTAGGAGGTTAGTCTGTTTCATCTTTTAGAGTTTTGCCTCGCAGTAAATGTAACCTTACATCACACTGTATGGGATTTTTCCCCTGAAGGAAACTCCCTGAGTTGCCCTAGGTGTGTGTACACTGAAAAAAAAGTTTACTATTTATAGGCGGAGCCACCTTGGACCAAGTAACCGTTTACTCAAAAAGTATCGACTAGTAATGGAAGTTTATTCCAACAGAACAGAGTTTGATTGAATCAAGTACACGCGTTATCTCAAACTAGCACTCCACGTGTATTTGGAGTGAGAACTCGTTTACTTAAAAGTAGTAACTTCTGAGACGCGAAAATATTTACTAAAATTAAGTAATCACCTTCGGTTTGAAAGGAGTACCTCTGATCTTGATCTAAGTCAACCGTTTACTTAAAATCAGAAAACGATTGCGTGACTGACGAGCGCATTTACTGGTTATAGGCTAACGGTTGATTTAAAATTAGTAAACGGCTGAGCGTCTGGCAGGAATAGGTTTTTCCGAGGCGCGTTTACTTATTTCTAGCCAGTTGTTGTTTTAAATTTAGTAAATAGTTACTGCAGGTATGCACACTGCACCCATACCATATGTATTATTATCCTATCCTATACATAAATAAATCCGAAAATTCAAAACGCGTACCGATTTAACTTCTGACCGCTTCGTCAGACCCTGGTGCGATTTTTGCACGCGTGACTCTTTTACGGACCTGTTTTACCTAGGGTGGGTGTGGTTTGCAGTCCGCGGTCTGTTTACCGGTAAGCGGTAAAAAAACGAAATTTTGTAGTCCAGGAGCCGGAGATATGCTCTTTTGAATTTTCTTTGATATTTGGTAAAAAAAGCTAAAAGGCGTATAGGCGTACGACCAGCAGTGGTATATACGTTATTTATGCAATTTCATAGCGTCTTTTCTGCTTCCATGGTTGCATCTGACGCGTCAGCTGATGTTATTGCTGTTGAGATAAATAATTTTTAAAATTTGTTTTTTCGACTGAATAGCGTCTCCCCCCCCCCTCTGTAATTCCAAGCTTGCTTTTTCGTTGGATACCCTGAGGGTAGTTCTCGCTTTTCAGCATTTACTAAGCATCTGATATGTTCGTTCTTAATTATTTTGGTAGGGCAGCTTGGGGGGTGTAAAATTTTTTTGTGACGGCCGGGAAGGAGGGAAGTGAAAGCATTAATTTTCCTAAAACTAAATGTCTGTTTGAAAACGTAAAAGAAAAAATAACAAAAAAATTTCTACACTTCCGCTTTTTGTCAGCAGTTTTTAGTGTTGCCGTTTTTATATTTTTTATAACCTTTCTTTCGTATTCTGAAATGTTCACTTCATTCCTCTTGGATTTTTCTTAATTCTATTAAATTATTCGGTGCAAAGCTGCCTCATTAAGCTGTTACAAATATTTGTGTCAATTTTTCTGCATTTCTTTTTTTGGCACAAAATGCCTGAAAGGAAAAAAACAAATTTGTCCACAGTTTTACGAAAAAATCGTAGGAAAATGAAAATTCAAGGTATAAAATCTTTATTGATACCGTGCAAATATGATACACCGCAACTCAAGAACCCTCTCCAAGATTTGCTATAATTTTTGCAGCAGTTGAAGTAATGAATAAGTCTCATGGCATTTTTTAAAGTTCCTGGTTTTTTTACCATGTTTTATTGTTTTTATGAACCAAAAATAATTTATGAAGTAGTGTTTTGAGCTCTTAGCTTCATCATGAATCGTCGTTTTATTGTTAGAATGTACTTAGCCAATTTCAGATCTGTAGTTCTTTTTTCATTGAAGCAAGTGTGCCAAGTAAAAAAAGGTCATCAAAAATTTACACCATTTTTCTGTCAATTCCTGATGGTGTCTTATTTAATTTCCTCAGACTTTCGCTGGAAGCAATTCATTTGTAATGAAAGTTGTCAGTTTTCAATCTCTAATCCAAAATACATAAAAATGTTTCCATTAAAAAAAAAAAAAGAAGGTATAAAATCTTCAAAAAAAGTGATGCTCTAACTGTAAAAAAAAATGATACGGTCAATGTGAAAGAACCATGTTTTTCTCACGGTCCACTTTATGATGCATGCTCCAGAGTTCAAAGCGATAGAAATTTGCATATCTTCACTCCAAATGGAAAAACTTGAAACAAAGTTTACAAGAACGTATTGAACTAAGATATAAGTATACTTATGTGTTGTATAAAGTAAAGCAGCATCAAAATTCTATTAGTAGATTTTCATTCATATTAATAAAAATTTTACATATGAACTGAATTTAGTATTAGCAGAAGTCAGTGTTGCCCGTGCGGAGCACGGGGGGCCTGCTAGTTAATCAATAATTGCAAAAAATGGGTTTATCTATCGAATTTTCGATGAAAAAAATTTTTCAATTGCATATCTGCAAGTGTTGAAGACTCGACATGGCAAGTACCGACTTGCAAATTTTGGCCTACCTATCGGGATTTGAACCTGGGACCTACAGTTTACTAACCTAACACCCTGCCTACTTAGCCATCGGGACTTATGTCTCCATCGGGCGAATTTACACTATATAAGTCATTGACTTATGCTCTCATCATTATTGTGAAAGTGAATATGCGTGAGACCTGATGGTTTAAGATTTGTTGAACCCGTAAAGATGAATTTGGAACTAAAAAGAATTACGCGTGTTACTGGCGTCACTTTTTTTATGTTTATATTTTTTTCTATCCTATCCTACATTAATTTTTTATCTTTTTAAAAAGAATTTATTACAATTCACCTTTTTTTAAATTTTTCCTCTTCATTTTTTCTTGAAGAATCGCTGACTTTAAAAAAATAAGAATTAAGAATGAATCTCTTCAAAAATGTTTGTAACATAATAATTTTTTATTTTTGATGACTGAGATTGTTACATTTTTTTAAATATTAATAGTCCTATTCAATTCGACCATAATAGACAAGCCTATTCTGGACCATTTATCAGACTTTTCTATTTCAATTAGATTATTAATAGTTCTATTCAATAGTTCCAATTAGTTTACATCGGGCAGAAAAGGATGGATGTGAGCACTATAAAAGAGACATCAATAGTTCTAATCCCTCACTTTAAAAAATAAGATTTGAAAAATAAGCTTTGAGATTTACTGGAGTAAAGCATCTTTTTCCGTGGACAGTCACAATTTATTCATAAAAAAGTTTAATTTTCGATTACTTTTATATTTTACTCAGTTTACTTAATCATACGCGTGACGTTTTAATATTTTATTGTATAGCTGCACTTCCTTTTCGTCACACTCTCTAAAGTTGATAGGAAGGTGGTGAAGAAGTGGTGGATCCAACCTATTTTGCAGGGAAAAAAGGTGAAAAGGTTCAAATACTTCAATTACAGTAAAAAATGTCGAGCTCTTATGAGTATCTGAAAGGAGACTAAGACTAAGGACTAGGACTAAGGAGGGGGGGGGCGGAAAAGATCGGTCCCAACAGACCCTTCCACCCAAAATTTCCCCGGACACAAATGAATCAAAGTTTTAAATATCAACAATTTTGCACTCGCAAATTCCTTTCGAAAATAGAGAAAAATATTTATTTTTTTTCAATCCATGCCATCGTCGCGTCCATAAATCAAAGGGACCCAAAAAATCAAAATTGAACAGTGTATACACTACGTAGCAGCAGAGTTATTTGAATATCTTCATCTGTCAACTTGGTGGGTGACATACTGAAAAGTATGATTCTCTCCACATTTTTTACTTTCTTCCTTGGCCCTTGTCATAAGCAAGCAATTTTCCATTACTTTTATATTTTACTCAGTTTACATAATCACACGCGTGACGTTTTAATATTTTATTGTATAGCTTGTATTTGACCCTGTTTAATTCTATCTGCGAGGAATCTTTCACTCATCAGGACAGGAATAGTAAGGAAGAAAATAAAAAAAAAAAAAGCGATTGTTTAGTGTGAAGAAATACATTGTCCGATGAAACTGAACTGATGCAATGCAAAAAACTCCCGGCTTCAATCTACCTAAGTACCTAAGTCCTCTTTATGAGGCCCCCTTAGGGTGCGTCAAAAAAATTGAAAGTCTGAAATGTTCCGCTCCCCAGGCGGCAATCGATGACGTTTGGTAAAAAAACATGTTTGCCAAAATTTGGGCCATTTTCAACCATTTTAAATGGTGCCAAAGGTCAATTTTATGATGAAATTATGATATTTTGGTTTAGACCTCAAATTCGTACAAAAAACTCGATTTTACGCTGAAATCGAGCGTTTACGAGAAAAATGCCAAAGTACTTAAGTTGTAGAGGATAAAATTTTACTTCAGAAAGACGTCTTTTTAAACGATAAAAATCAAATTGAACTAGAAAAACTCAACTCAGTATTTATTTTTTTGGTCCTCAGCATTTCCGAGGTCTTACAAAGTAGCGGTTTAAAAGACTCATTTTTCACGAAAATAAGTCAAAAGAGGGTATAAATGAACTGTTCGCAAGTATTGAGGATGCAAATGTCATCAGAACTTCCTCAGTTTCAAAAAAAGTTCCAACTATTTTGCACAATCCTCCAAAAAGTGTACGACTCGAGAAGCAGGATCGTGCTATAATAGTAGGGGGAAAGTGCGGTTTGACCGGGAAAAATTGCGTAACAAACTTTCCCTATGTAATCGTCATCAGTAAGTCAGGGGGACTTACTGATGAAGAACTTACTGGGGGATTTAAAAAAATGCAACCTCCTGCCTTTCAAATTTGGCCGCCAACTTTGATTTGGAGCGCCCCCTTTGATCGGAGGGCCTTGTTGAGTTCATTTATGTAATCTACAACCAAAATTACATAGGAAATGGTACCTCACATGACACAGAATGAACATTTTAAAATACCGATTTGTCGGACCCCTTTTTACGGCCGCCATTTTGAATTTTAGGTACTTTGAGGGGTGTTCTGGGGTCGGGCCATTTTTAACTTTTAGGAAGTTGTTCCTGAACAACTTCCTAAAAGTTAAAAATGGCCCGACCCCAGAACACCCCTCAAAGTACCTAAAATTCAAAATGGCGGCCGTAAAAAGGGGTCCGACAAATCGGTATTTTAAAATGTTCATTCTGTGTCATGTGAGGTACCATTTCCTATGTAATTTTGGTTGTAGATTACATAAATGAACTCAACAAGGCCCTCCGATCAAAGGGGGCGCTCCAAATCAAAGTTGGCGGCCAAACTTGAAAGACAGGAGGTTGCATTTTTTTAAATATTCACGTAAGGAACAAGGAAAGTGAGGTGTATCTATATTCATGTATTTTTGACTGAGGGACCTAAATTTGATGTTAAAAATGTAGTGAATAAAGGAAATTAAAAGAAACATAGGACTACGAAGAGGGATGTAAGGTCAGAAGCGTGTTTGCACGTGAATGTGTAAATGTGTCAACACATACTCTCTTCCAATTCTCGTGCGTGTTCTCCGCTCTTTAGCAATCCCTGCACACATGATTTATCCTGTTTTCTTCCATCAATTTCTTCTTACTGGACACATCATAAACTACTAAATCTTGGATTTGGGGCGCTCCTCTTGATCGGGCGGGGGGGTTATACCTTCATTAATGAAGTTTACAACTAAATTTACAAAGAAATGGAGACCCCTCGCGCTTGCCTTCTTTCTTCGGTGAATATTTAAAAAAATGCAACCTCCTGCCTTTCAAATTTGGCCGCCATCTTTGATTTGGAGCGCCCCCTTTGATCGGAGGGCCTTGTTGAGTTCATTTATGTAATCTACAACCAAAATTACATAGGAAATGGTACCTCACATGACACAGAATGAACATTTTAAAATACCGATTTGTCGGACCCCTTTTTACGGCCGCCATTTTGAATTTTAGGTACTTTGAGGGGTGTTCCGGGGTCGGGCCATTTTTAACTTTTAGGAAGTTGTTCAGGGGGACTTACTGATGACGATTACATAGGGAAAGTTTGTCACGCAATTTTTCCCGGTCAAACCGCACGTCTCCCATACTATTATAGCACGATCCTGCTTCTCGAGCCGTACACTTTTTGGAGGATTGTGCAAAATAGTTGGAACTTTTTTTGAAACTGAGGAAGTTCTGATGACATTTGCATCCTCAACACTTGCGAACAGCTCATTTATACCCTCTTTTGACTTATTATTGTGAAAAATGAGTCTTTTAAACCGCTTCTTTGTAAGACCTCGGAAATTCTGAGGACCAAAAAAATAAATACAGAGTTGAGTTTTTCTAGTTCAATTTGATTTTTTATCGTTTAAAAAGACGTCTTTCTGAAGTAAAATTTCATCCTCTACAACTTAAGTTCTTTGGCATTTTTCTCGTAAACGCTCGATTTCAGCGTAAAATCGAGTTTTTTGTACGAATTCGAGGTCTAAACCAAAATATCATAATTTCATCATAAAATTGACCTTTGGCACCATTTAAAATGGTTGAAAATGGCCCAAATTTTGGCAAACATGTTTTTTTACCAAACGTCATCGATTGCCGCCTGGGGAGCGGAACATTTCAGACTTTCAATTTTTTGATGCACCCTAGGCCCCCTTCATTTAAAAATAAAAATTAAAACTTCAAATGCACAGTGCCAATCTATTTAAAACAACGCAAATATTTTCCTCTTCTTCTCCTTCTTTACTTCTTTATTTATTTAATTTCTTGTCGACGCCGAGCATATGATTGATTTATCAAAGGACACATTAAATGAATTTCTCCCTAAACAACAATTATTTTGTAGACAAATATAATGGGCATCTTGATTTTTTAACTTCCGTCTCCTTTATCCCGTCATAAATAGTGTTGGTTTAAGCAGATGCCAACTGCATCTGGCAGCAATTGGCAACATCATCCTCATAGGAGGCGTCACCACCCCGTTTACTAATTTTAAGGAACCTGGTTTCTTTTTTCGACGCAACGGGTTTTCTTTCATCAAGCGAGTTGTTACTTGAAATAAGGCAACGAGCGTAGTGCTAATTGGTTTTCCCCCTCAGAAGGCGCTCAGCCCGTTTACTAATTTTAAGCATACTGATTCCTTCTTTCGACGCACCGTGTTTTATTCGATCAAGCAAGCTAATGACTTGGAAAGAGGCAAGGGATGATCTCAGAGGGCGTTTGCCCCGTTTACTAAGTTTTAGAAAACGATTTATTCTTTCAACGCAATGTGTTTCCCTCTTTCAAGGTAGTTGAAAAAAGGAAACGGAGGTGCTCTGAGGGCGTTGTCCCCGTTTACTAATTTCAAGAAACAGGCTCCTTCATTCAAGTACACGATTACTTAACGCTAATTCTAAAACGCTGTTGATTTAATTCAACTAAATAGGACTTTCTTGTTCCAAGACAATTCTGAATGCCTACATTGAGAAACCCGGTGTCTTCTTCCATGGCGGATCCGCCTTCAAATTAGCAAAAAATCCGCGACAACGCGTTTACTTAAAAATAGTACGCCTTTTTTTTCAGTGTAAAATCAAAACAGGAAGAAAATTCAATTGAATTAAAATTCTAAAAAGAAAAGGATAACCTTCAAAAGCTGGCCAAAGGAAGGATATCGGTATGAGTCGTTTTGGGTCCCCCCTCAAATTCCTCAACCTCACGATTTTTTGCGTACTGAAGGTCTATATTTGACGAAATTTATCATAATTTAGTCATTATCAGTATTTTTCTGGGTCAATTTCTGGCATGAACATGGGCCTGAAGGCCGATTTTGGCGGAAAATTAGCATTTTCGACTTTCGATGTTGTGTTCCAAACTGGTCCTCTCGGAGGAGCAGTAAGTTCTTCAAGTATGTTCATTAAGAATATGAGAAAACCTCTTTGGCCAATGTTTGTTGATATCAAATTGAATTTTTTAGTTTTTCGCCGTCATTTAAAATGGCTTTAAAACGCAACTTACCTTAATTCAGGATTAAACTCCTTTCGCAGAAAATGCAAGTAGGTAATCAAAACCTTTCTCTAAGAGCTTTTTGGGATTTATAGCCCCCCACTCCATAGAAGCCGATGTTGTCTGTTTTTATCGCCTGAAATTTACTGCAATTTCATACAGTGTTATCAGAGAGAATGTAAACAACTTCCTGGTGTCTTTTCTCTTAACTTAAGCTCTAGAAGTGAAGATTTCGACCACAGTGCAGCAAAATTCTGCGCCATGAAATGAAAGTAACCTTAAGTGTAGGTTCTGATTGAAGGTCAGGATAAGTAAGAGAATTGGGAATTGAAGAAACATGAAACTCAAGAGAAGAACGGGGAAAAAAGAAAGGGAGTAAATTTAGCACACCTTACGATTAACTATAAAAACTTCAAGACCTTGGTGCGCTGCTGACTTCTTCTGTCTGCTATCTTTGTTCTTTATCTTACTCCCTAGAGGCAAATACTGCAATTTCTCAAGAAAAATTATAGTAAAAATGGAAAATATCCGTTAATATTGAACACTCGAATATTTCACAAATATTAAATATACATACTGCTTAAAATTCCGTCTATTCGCTGAATTTCTGTGAAGTAAGACGGATTCCTATGTAATTATGGTGGGTGAATCCGAATCGTTCTTTCATCGTTTTCATTAAAATAAATTTCGATCCTGCCTATTGTTGATTGCCCAAGTGATTTTTCTTCAAAATTCATTGATAAGTTTTCAGCCACGGGAGATGTGTCAGTAATGCAGTTGTCTCTCTGGCTATCAAAATCAGTGCCTTCCGGCATAAAAGTCATCTTATTCATAGTTTGTAGAAATGTGAAGGATGGCAGGGTCGTCGACATCGCCTTCTTCTCCACCCTCCTCAATCAATGCATCAATATCTCGAGTATTTCTACAGAACAGATGGCAGTTGGTGCAAACAATGGTACAATAAAGACCGCCTCAGCTGAATCGCTAGGAATGGCATTAGTCTCTACAGTTTTTTCTTTTTGCTATATCTGAGCCTGGCTTGATACCAAACCATGAAAAAAATGGGAGTTTTTTAGGACATAATGAGAGTACAACGACTTCATCGGACCACTGTGCGGCATTCCCCAAGAGGATTTATGGGGACTTTCGGCTAAAAACACCTTTTCATTTGCAGAATCGATTGGGCCTAAATCCAGCAGTATTTTCATTCTTGGCAATCGAAATGCTTTGTTTAATGTACCACAACTACCACATGAATTTTTTGACTTTTCAGATTTTGAATATTCCAGTAATACAGATGACTCGGATGATGATTTTGAACTCCTTGGATGAGTGATTTATGTGAGCTCTCAGGTTAAATAGTAACCATTGCTACAACGCCATTCGCTTTCGATAACGGGGACGTTTTTTGTGGTTGTACAGAACACACCAAAGGAGTTTGGTTTTTTTTTTCAATTATTATTTATTTTCATTCAATCTAAGTTAGCTTGTCTTTTTTTGAATCCCTTCATAGATGCACCTCTTGATTCATATGTTGTTGCTCTTGGTACGAGATTTCAAGTTTTCAATCAGCAAAAGAGTAGGCTGGATGTCTCAGAAGCTGTACATAAGACAAAGAAAAAGATGCATCTTCATTTATTTATGAAACTACATGTTAAAAGATCTTCTATCTATTAAATTGGTTGAATTTACTTTTTTGCACAATCCAATTTATGAAGAAAGGAGCTTGAGGTTTCTGGAATCAATCAGAAGTATGACAAACATTTTCAGGTCTTGGGTCTTAACAGTGAGCTTTTTGACTTATTCATCATTTCTTATTTTATAATTTTTTGCACAATATCACTGAGTCTCTATAGCTTAATATAAAAAAAAAATTAGGACTATTTACTTGACGTGTAAACAAAAACCTCAAGAACTCCGTGGCACTGTAAGTAGCGTGCATACAACTTTGATCCCTCCAAAAAAAGTTATAATTTTAAGGGTCTCGAGAAAAGGAACATTTCCTCTTGCATTCACATTTTTCAACCCTACCGTCTACAAGACAGTGTTCTTAAAAGTTCTTTGTGTGAGAAATCCTAAAAAAGCTGCTAACTAAGCTAACTGCACTTTTTATGACTTTTTTACATGGTTTTTAGTGTTCTTCTGAAATCTGTCCACATTTATCGATTATTCAATTGAAAATTCCTAATTTCAATGTCCATAAAACTAGTAACTCTATTCTTGCGTTTTTCATTGCAAGTGTGTGGAAAAAAAATTTAACCCCTCGCTTTTATGTACAGTGTGATCTAGACCACCCGTCCACCATCTTTTTCTCGATAACAGCGGAGAATTGAGCTTCGGGACCAAATTTTTCATGGGTAAATCGACCCCAAAGAATCGAATGAAAATATTTTCAGCCCCCCAAAATGGTCCCTTGGGGGGGGGGGGTTTGGGGGGGAGCCCCCCCGTTTCTCGCGATTTTCAAATAGGAAGGGTATGTTTTGACTTCGGATTCGTAATCTACAGCAAAAAATAAGAACATTTTGTTTTTTCCACTTTTTCCCTAAACCTCCGATTTTTTGGAGTTACGGTCATTTTGGGGGCAATTTTCAATTCGATGCTGTAAGCGGCCAAATTATCCAAATTTCAAAATCTAAAAATCTCCTGAGAGGAGAGATCAATACCTTTTTATTGATGTGTTATATGACCCCTGTTGCTCCAAAATTTTGGGGGCCACGACCCCCCCCAAAAAATTTGGCTCAATTATCCGCCGTTTTCGAGAAAAAGATAGTGGACGGGTGGTCTGGATCACCCTGTATGTGTTACATTGCTTAATAGCAAGTTAAGTGGCAACTTTAACAGGATTATTCAAAAGTCGCCTACCACTCCTGTAACTTTTTTCCTAATTGACTTAGAAATTTGAAACTGTGGGGATGTCCTTAGGTCTGAAGTAGCAACTTTTTGGTCCCCCAAAAATTTTTGGGAGCGGCTCCCTCTATAGGGAGTGGGGGGGGCAACTTTTTTTTTCAAATGGCAACCCCACCTTAGTGACGCCTCATTCGAAAGATATTAAAGAAAACAAATTCATGGCGCAAACCGCAGGTCTAAATGTTGATTTTTCACAAAATAATGCCGTAGTTCAATTTAACGGGGCATCTCCGTTTGTATTGACGGATTGGGATGAAATTCAGAACCAAACGGTGTTTTGGGACACAAAATACCCTGAAATACCGCGTTCCATCCTAAGCAGTCCACACAGACGGAGATTTCATATTTCCGTCATTTTGTGAAAACTCAACATTTTGACCTGCAGTTTGCACCAATTTTTTGTTTTCATTATTATCTTTCAAACAAGATGTCATAAAGTGAGGTGGGTTGTAGTTGAAAAAGAAAAGTTGCCCCTGCCCTCAAGAGGAAGAACCAAAAAGTTGCTACTTTACACCTAGGAACTCCCCGAAGTTTCAAATTTCTATGTCAATTAGAAAAAAAGTTAGAGGGGTAGTAGGTGACTTTTGGATAACCCTGTATGAGTTGCTCGCATATAAGCCTGGTTTTCTTTTGACTGAGAACAAAAATTTACACATGAAAATGCTACCCCTGTATTGATTGCAATAATGTTATGACCTCTCATTTTAAGTATGAGAACCTTTTCCAGGGAAAGAAGTAGGAGACGTATGACAATCGAAGTTTCTTAAAAATACTGCAGGGTTGTTTACTTATTTGTCTATTGGCGGCGATCGTCCCTTTCTTAAAGATCTCAAGCCTTTCATAACTTATGAGGTTTTACAAGACACGCTTAATTTCCTCTCTGTGTCCTCTTTAAATCACTATTTATCTTCCCAAACTCCTCTTTGATTTTGCCATCTCTTTAGGTTTTCATTACAACTCAACTTTGTAAGTATGTATAAATAGCTAAATTGTTTGCAAATATGTGCAAATACCATTTTCGTTAAGATTGAGCCTTTAAATTTTTACTGGAAGAAAATATATGCTGAGTAACTATTTAAAGCTGCGTTTGATTCTGTATTCCCTCTTGTTAGGTTTTCATCCTGTACAGGCCCGCAGATACTATCAAATTTATACTTACGTAGATTGCGGTAGTTGCCTGGAGCAGCATTTGCAATCTAACATCTTGAAGCTCTGTAAGTGCTTTGTTTCCAGAAGAGGACCAACGGCAGTTATGCACGATATGTGAGATTTTAATTAAGGTTTTTTTGAGGGCAGAAAAGGTTCAATAGGGTGTCCCATTTTGGATGGTGAAAAAGAAATTAGCGAAATCCAATCGAGATACTTGCCGAAAAATTTCCTTCTGGTTACAAAAAACATCTCAGGGTCGTAGCTACAGGTTAAGTGGTCCCCCAGCACTGAGAACCCGCGATTTTGAAGTGTGCATTATCCGAGAAAATTGCTCAAATCCAAGGAAACTTGGATTTTTATCGACTTTTATGGAAGACATGAGGCCACGTTGCGCCGCAGTGGGAGGCTTTATAGATGAAAAAACCGGCGCTCCGCTTCGCTCCGCGCCGGTTTTTGGGGGTGCTTCGCCCCCCCAAGCCCCCCCAGGACGCGCGCGGCGTCTTCTCAGTGTCGTCTGCACATCTAGTTTTTCCTCTTATTAAGTGTCCCGCGCATCCACCGCGGGAAGGAAGTGTATTTCCCGAAGTGGGATTTTTGTTGTCATAAAATCGTACGTCAGTAAGTCATTGTGTGATCGATAGTTTTCTTCCAAAAACTTTCTTCATCTAACCCACTGTGCGACGCGCAGTTTGTCCAAAATCTTCCTTCTCCTGAACCACTGAGCGACGAAAAGCTTCTTCAGAAACTTCTTCCCCCTGACCCACTGTACGACGAAAATTTTGTCCAAAAACTTCCTCCCCCTGACCCACTGTGCGACGAAAATTTTGTCCAAAAACTTCCTCCCCCTGACCCATTGTGCGACGAAAATTTTGTCCAAAAACTTCTTATCCCTGACCCACTGTGCGACGATCAGCTTGTCCAAAAACTTTCTCCCCCGACCCACTGTGCGGCCCTGCTCCGGCCGGCTCCCCTCATGCCGCGCACCTCCCGCCTAAAACTTTCAAAGCTCGCCATTTTTAAACGGCTCAGCCGATTTAGCTCAAATTCAATACCAAACCAGTCCTAGAGGAGAACTACCACCCATAAAAATTTCAGCTCAAAATATTTATTTTCGCTCGAGTTATCGAGTGAACAAGATTTAACCTCCCCCCACTTTCGAGCCCCACCCCTCAAAATCTATCGCCTCAAATTTCAATTTTTTTTCGCAGAATAGTAGTTCTAATGAGTCTCTACTAAATGCAAAAAAATGGGTCAAAATATCTTTCAACGTAAGAAAGATATAACTACTCAAAAATCGAAAAATCTTAAAAAGGCGGAAATACATACATACATATATACATACATACAGATATACATACATACATATATATATATACACATGAATTTGAATGGCATATATTTTCGTGATCTACGACCCGTGATCGGTGCTCTTCACAAGGTCTCGGGTCTGGGTCCGACATCATGGGAGAATGCAATAGTGTATTTTTTTCGGAAAATACACTAACATATACATAATCACTAGTAATGTGGCCATAACATATGAATATTCAAAGTTCGCTGAACTTTCCTGAATGAGCTCGGTGAGGAACAGCCTCTGAATACTGAAATAGATACTCGTTTTTTGTGTTTTTAGGCGATAAAATATGGCAAATCGACTTTTTTGGGAGGCTTTGAATCCAAAAACTCTGTTAGAGGAAGGATTTGACCACCTACGTACATTTATACTACCACAGGAGTTCAATTCTGGCGTAAGATGAGTTGCTTCTTCTCAACCATTTAAAATAATGATGAAAAACAGAAAAAAAATAAAAAAAAGAAAAGAAAAAAAAGAAAAAAAATTAAACAAAAAGCGCAAATTTTGTTATCGACAAAAATTGGCCCAAGTGACCCTTTTACACCCCTAATAACCATATTTGAAGGACTTTTTGCTCGTCCGATGGGATCCTTATGAAACAGCGCGTCAAATGCCGCGACATTTAAGTCAAGCGACGGTGAAGTAGTGGTTTGACTACAAAATACTAAAATCGCTGATTTTTTCATTATGAGGGCTGAGAACGAGATATTTCTGAGCCTCATGGGTCCAAACTGTTATTTTTCTCTTATAATATAATATCAGAAGTCTCATTATCCGCATTTGCGACTTTCTATCTCGATTGCATTTTCCAAAAAAAAAATCTGCAGACTTGCTAAGATCACCAAGACGAGAAATCGGTAAAACCACTTAAGTGCCTTGCAGGACCACTTAACCTTTAGCTGCGACCCTGAGATATTTTTGCGATTTTTTTCTAACCAGAAGGAAACTTCTTGGCAAGTATCTCGATTGGATTTCGCAATTTTTTTTTTCACCGTCCAAAATGGGACACCCTGAGGTTCAGTACGGAGCAGGGTCTGCTCCCTAGATTCTAGTAAGGTTCGAAGTAAGATAATACGGTCTCCCTAGGTTAGATTACCTTAAGTAAGGTTAGTTCAAGTAAGGACCAGTTCTACCCGTGAGGTACACGCTCTAAATCCTATTTTGCCCCTATTATTACCTAACCACACTATTGAGTGTATTGTCTAATAATGGTTTTATGCCACCACAATGTGATATTCTGTCAACCACAGTATGCTCTTAAATGACTTTATATCCTTCCAGTATACAATAAAGTACATATAAATTGGACGTATTACCATTAAACGGAACTGAGCGCCAAATTGAGTTCCTTTTGAGGATTTTAGAATCCCGGATAGCGCGTCCTGTCAAACGGAACTAAGCGCCATGGAAAAGCATTTGCGAGTATAGGACGGAACGAGCATCGCGTTTCGCAACACCCGCCAATTCAAGCCCCTCTCTCCCTTCCTCCCCCTATGGTGCTTAGGTCCGTTTGAAAGAAATACTTCTAATTATAAGGAGACTAATACTAGCAATAAACTCATTTTTAGCAGAGCTAATCGCAGCCATTGGGTGCTGAGGCAATTTAAAACCATGAAGCAAATGAGGGTCTTCTAAAATATTCTTGTAAATAAGGGTCTTCTTTCAATATACGTGTAAGAATGCTCACAGACAGTTTGATTTTTAAATCTGATGTACGATCATCTGATCATGCTCATTATTTGATTTTGTTTACCGTTCAAAAAGGTATTGCACCCTCATAACTAAGGGGGCTACCCCGGGGGAAGGG